CCGCACCGTTAATTAAGGTACTTAATTAATAAATTACGAGAAAATAGGAAATGATTCCATAATTGACTCTAATAATTATTATGAGGCTTTAATAATTATAGTTAGTGAGTAATAATGCTGAAAGTCGCTTTTCGGAAGAAAAGTGCACATACCGGTTCTGCTAGTCGGTATAAATGCGTGCCGAAAAAGTATCCCGGAAAATTAATGTAAGTGCATGATAATTACTAGAATAATATGTAGGACTTGTAAAACGAGTTTCAAGTCCAGATAATGAGAACTGGTGCTGGAAACCGGTACTGGCTTGGAAAAGCGCGTACCGGAAAAGTGCTCAGAAAATTATAAGAAAAATATGATAAATCTTAGAAAATTATGTAGTTTCATAATCCAAAGTTTGGGATTAAAATGTTAAGCGTAGCAATTAAAGTTAATACTGTGTGTTTTATGGCTAAGTGACTATATATATGCATTTTAGCACATAACCGTAGGCATACCAGAATTCCTACGTGAGGCACTTGGTGGGCTGAGGGTGGTTTACTGTTCCATTGCCTCCTTTCACCATTTTTGAACTCAAGTTGTCACCTTTACTTGATTTCCTCCCTCTTTGAGCTTGTTTACACTTAAGAACATGCATGGTGAGGAAGTGTGAGGGTGTATTCTGAGTTTCCATCCTCTGTGTGTGGGTGAGAGTGCTGGTTTTGGGTGGTGTGGTTGCTGAAAGCCATAGTTATGGCATTTTGGAGGTCCAAGTGGTGACCTTTGGTGAGAAGAACCAACCCTTGTGAAGCCATTTTCGTGCATCTTTCTTGAGTCAGACTTGAGGGGCTGTGTTGAGCTCCAAGAGCATCTCCTTCTATGTTTTAAGCCTTTGGTATGTATACCAACCTTTGATCTTGAGTTTAATGCTTAAAAATGAAAGCTTGATACTTGTTAAGGCCAAAAGATGATAACTTGTTGTGGGGTAATGTTGAACACACCTAGAAATGCATGTTTAGGTGTTTAAAATCGGTAAAAACCCAACCTTGGAAGGATATCTTCACGAAAATGCAGAAACTGCATTCTGTCGTGAAATATCCGAATATCGGCCCGTGGAATATCCGGATATGGGATATCCGGATATGATATCCGGATATGTGTATTCGGATATGGGGTTTTGGGATATCTGGATAATAGATATCCAGATATGGGATTCTGGATATCCGGATATTGCATATCCGGATATGTCCAGTGAGATATCCGGATATTGCATATCCGGATATGGTCCCGAGGAATATCCGGATATTCTGGGATTTCGTAGAACAGTAGTTGTGTTGTGTGTACAGTAGGCTATTGGGGGTTTGTGGACCCTAGATTGATGAAGTTGAATTTCTGTATTTAATGGACTAAGCCAGAATCATGGGATTAAGGGCTTGTGGCTTTGTTAGAAGCTTTAAGACTTGAAAACGTAATGAAAAGGCGTTGTCTTAATATTGTATGCTTGTGGTGCATGTTGTTGATGTATTGTTGGTCCATAACAGATTGTGAATCTGCTGTGTTTGGACTTTGAGCTGTGGACTCTTGGCTTTTGGAGTTAGCTTGCAAGGTAAGCTTTCGTGTCCTCGATTTAGCCATGTTGTGGTTCCACCATGTCCCATGGGGGTATGGTTTATGCATGTTGTGTACATGCTTTTGGATATTTGATATGTTGATTGAACTTTACATGTAATGGCTTTTAATATGCATGTGTTGTTTCATCTTGACGGGAAGCCTGAGTATGTAGCGCCATACAAGACGGTGTACCGGGGTGAATGCAAGTGGTACTTGCACGGTGTGTAGGTGATAGACGATAGACGTATACCTGCACTGTCTCTGGCCAGTAGATTAGTATTGACACACATGACATGATTATCTGCTGCATTGCATTGTTTTAGAAATGATAAACTGCTTTTGAACTTATATTGCACATGTAAGTGAGCTTGGGGTGGAAGATCCTTGAGGACTCACTGACTTACTGAGATTTCTAGATTAGAGATCTTACCCCACGTTTGGGGAATGCTTATTTCAGGATCAGGTAGTATGGGTACTGATGCCTCAGGCGGCAGGAGGCCGGAGCTTAGCTGATTATGTTGTTTCTGCTTATTTGTTAGCATGACTGGATATGGATGCTGATTATGTTTTATGCCTTTTATCATTATGTTGTTGTTGAGACTAATTTGGGCATGTTGCCTTATTTGAGTGAGCATAGGGATTTTCCATGGCACTTTCTGTTAGTACTTGTAGTTTGGAGCTGTATAAACTGTTAGATGGTCCGGTCTACGTTGTTGTAGTTCCGTGACTAGAGCCACACTTATATTAGCTATGTTATGAGGTTTTTCAGTTAGCTGTTTTATTGCAATTACATACAGGCGATGTTTTATTAATTGATTATTAAGCAAGTTGGTAATGTTAATGGCATCATAATTGAAAAGAAAAAGTAATTCCGCATTTTAATTAAGCGCAGCTTAATACGATATTATGATAACATTACCGGATATATACGGGGTGTTACAGATAAGATATGAATTGACAGAATCAAAGGGCAAGATAAGAGTAGAATAAGATATGAGGTTGATACGCTCATGTCCTATCTTATGTATGATGTGCATCAGATAAACAGTTTGATAGGATAATGATATCGTATCCGGTGTTTGAGGTGAATTATATAATGTCATGGTATGATATAAATAGACAAAAATACCTTTTTTAACAGAATTTTATATGATTTTTTAAAATTAATTTTTAAAGTATTTTTTCACTTATTTACACATTAATTTTTATTTTAAATATAAAAAAAATTCATAATGTTAAATAAAATATATTTAAACATAATAAAAAAATTATATCATCACCAAATAAATTTTAAAAAATTAAGTTTTAAATTGATCGTCAATATCGATGGCCGATGGTGGTGGCAACTAGTGCGATGAGTGGCTGATTGAATTGGTAATAGTGGTGGTAGTGGTAGTTGTGGGGGCTGGTGGCCATGGATAGTGGTGATGGCCCCGGTAATAGCCGCTTGGCAGCAATGGTCATGACACGAGGTGGTGGTTGGTGGAAGTAGTCGTGATGGCAGCACCGGAGATAAAATATAATATAAAAAAGTTTACTTCTATTTTTCTATTACCTTCTCAATTGTCATTCAAACAATTAATTTATTTTTTATTTTTGATTAAAGTTTTTCTCATTTAATTTTCTTTCTTTTTAATTTTTATTCTTATCCAAATAAAATATAAAAAAGGACACTTAGCGAAATTCCAAAATAAAAGTGATGGGAAGGTTGGTGGATTATCCTTATCCCAAATTTTATTAGCTTTGTTAAAATCCCAATCCTAAAATAATGCGGTGCACCTTTTTTGTCGTCAGGCTGATTGTTCATAAATATTCCTTTTGGTTCAAAATGTTTGTTAAAATAAATTCATCATTACAAAAAAATAAGGATGAAAGATTACACGTATTTTCATTGAATCAGTCATTAGTAAAACATAATTTTCTATTTTTATCTTTTTATTCTCTTGTTCATTCCTTCTCTCACATCAGTTTCTGTGTCTCTCGTCACATAATTACGTAATAAAGTTACCTCACCGGCCCCTCGAGTTCCACGGTGCATTTCTACGCCCAGGTTCATCCCAGCCGTTCAACTTTTTAAGTCACTATTAGACACTTGATCAGATGACATCAACGGCTCACATTTTCCAATCAGAACTTCCCAGTGTACTTTCTATATCTTTTAGGAGATATTTGGTAGATGAAAAAAAATTTATTCATGGAAATCACAATTCTGAAATATGCTAAGAAAGTAAATTTTCTAAGAATATTATCCAAAAACTATTTGGTAGGCCAACATATTCTCATGAATATTAGTTCAAATTTTTTAATTTTATATTTGATTAATTATCAATTATTCCTGAAAATAAGAGTTGATTTTACAAAAATTAATATTTGATGAATGGCGTTGGGGTCGTTAGGGTCACCGGAGCAAAGTATCATGAAGCATAAATGAATCCACTATTTTGTGAAGCATAATATTACGGTTATAATTTAATAAGAAAAATTATTTTAGACATGAAAATATTAAAATAACAATATTTATGTCCTATAAATTATGTAAAAAATTTCACCAGATGTAAATCTAGAATACGACTCAATATTATTTTATGAGATTCTTATTTATAATTTTAATTCTTAGAAATCTTATTTTTCTAAAATAATTTTAAAAACTGTTGTACCAAACATAAATAACTAGAATTTTCAATGTGACATATGGACTCTAATCCGATTCAGCTCGCTTATTCGTGTTCCCACTATCTTATTTTCGGTGATTTATTTATGGGAAATAATACTCTTATGTTATATAAGAGTACATCATTTTTCTACACTAATTCATTTTTCGTGCCAATTAATTTTTCTTTTCTTTTTTAATATAAAATATGAGATCCACATTTAACTTCTTTCTACTTTTTTTCTCTCCTACAATCTTACAACATAAGAAAACTTAAACCCTTTATTTATTTTGGTTGAAATATTTTCGGTGATTTAGATCAAGTACCAGTACGAGCTATTATTGTGTGACTAACAGTAACAGTAGTGTGTTGAATTCTCCCACAAAAAAAAAAAAAAACTGTAATGTGTTGGTTCAATTTCTATGCGGCGTTTGGTTCAGGAAATTTTTTTGGAATAGTAAGGAAATGAGATAGATAGAGAAATGATTGGAAAGATAGATAAAGTGAGATAGGTAGAGAAATGTAAAAAAAAAGTTGTTTAATGGGGAAAAACTTTACTGGAAAAATTAGGTAACTTTTAGAAAAGATATGTTTGGTTTGAGGTAAAATTTAGATGGATAAACGGGAGGAAATTACAAATTTAACCTTATTACCAAATATCCCATTAGGACTACAAGTGGCCAGTGCATTGCCACTTGTCCTCCAACGAATTTAAGGATGTGGAAGATGCGAAACAGGCCATGGATGATACATATGGTCTGAATTTATTTTTCTCTCCCCCTGTGAGCTACTCAATCTTCTCGCAGCTGATCTTTTGGACCCAGGCCGTGATCTGTCTTCTGGTCATAGATGCTGAAGTTTTTCTGGCCTTTCTGTTCTGTTTTTTCTTGTGTTTTTGTAGTTTCTGGTTTTAGTTTTCTGTTTGTGATGTTCTTGCTTTTGGGGCCTTGCCCCTTGGATGTACCAAAAAAAGAAAGAAAAAAAGAAGAAAGAAAGGGTAACAGAGCTTGGTTCGGCCACCTGCGTCTTGGTGGATTTGGATCAACCAGGGTTGAAGGGTTTGTTGTTGTTGTTGTGGTTGATGGGGTGGGGTGACGAGGAACAAGCATGTGTTTGCCACCAAGAACATACCGAGCGGATTAGAGGGTAAAAGGGTCTCATTTGTTGTGGGGCCACACCATCTAGCCGGCTATCTTCTAAAAACTCACCTCTCAATTAGCTTTTTCAACAGTGCAGATAGATGGGTAAAAGGCACAAATTGAGGAATGATATGCATTTGGTTTGCCTGGGTTTTCAGCATTTTACGTGTGAACCAAACACATGCTTTCCAAAAACCTATCTTTATTTGTCTGGATTTTTTTCAAAAACCTACCAACCAAACGCTCCCTAGAATCGCAGCAGTTCCCTATTTTGTCTTATGCTGATTTCTACCAGGTCAGACAAATTCCTTATTGATTTTCTCTAGCATTTGAATTGAGTATCTGATTTTTATTTTTTTTCATTTTACTTATTTATTTTGCAAGTGTTTTATTGCTTATCACTTGTTGACTTGCTTATAAATTTCATCGTATAAGTTGGCTGGGGTCGTTGCTGTTCAGGTCACCGGTGGGCCTGAAATTCCTTTCCACCCTGGAAGAAAGGTATAGTATAACAAGTTCTTAGTCTCTATTTATTTTATATTAAGATTTTTTTTGCAGTTGTATATTATTATTTTTTCCTATTGTTTACTTTTTCCTTGACGAGGTGCGTTGACATAAATTTACGATAGTTGATGTATGGAAGGATTAAGGAATGTGCGAATGGAATTGCTCTCTTCACAGTCGTATATAAGAACATTATGTGTCTTTTTGACTGTTTTTGTAATGATGCCGGTACACCAGTATTGTACGTAATTTGATTTGATTCGGTAGTTGATATACTGTGTTTTTTATACGTTGCATCACTGATGTCAAAATCTTCTTAATAATTTGTATACTGAGGGTGGTTTTTTTCTTTGATTAGGACAAATCTGCGCCACCTCCTGAGGGTCGCTTGCCTGATGCAACAAAGGGTTCGTATTCTAAATTTGTGTAGGGTGAAGAAATGTTATTATTCGTATCTTGTTACGAGTCTCTTGTTTTTTTAATTTTTAATTTTTAATTTTTAATTTTTAATTTTTTGCAGGTGCTGGCCATTGGAGCACTGATGGTTTCAAGATCTCATCTTAACGGTGGACACTTTTTTTTAGTGTATATTTCATTCATACTATTTGTTATTATGATAACGGTGACACTCTTTTCTTAGTGTATATTTCATGATACTATTTGTTATCATGATTTAATTTATCCGTATCATGTCAAGCACAAAAGGTGCATTTAACTTATATTGCAATTTTAATTCAATATTAAGATATGGTCTAGAGCTAAAAGCTTAGAAGTATATAATATTTGCTATCATTGATAATCAATTTATTTTTTGAAGCTCATTGATAGTTTTCTTATGTGAATTTTTATTAATATAAGTAATATTTTTATACTTTTAATTTTGAACAGTAAATCCGATTCAACCAGTGATCTACTGACTCAGTACCTCGACCGGTTCGATGACCGGTCCTAGTTTTAAAACACTGATATAAACTAGGCCGTGAAGGCACCGAAAAATTTGCTTAATACATTTTTATAATTTCTTCTATTATTCTTCTATCCTTTTTTGTTTTTACCAAATATCAAATTAAATATAATTTTGTTTTCATTTTATTGTACTCTTGTTCTAGGCAATAAAATAAGGGAATTATCACAATCACTTGTCCCCCTACAAATTTAATTAAGTTAATTACACTAAATATCAATCACTGCAATCGCTTTTTGATTTTGTCTATAGTGATATGAAAATATTAATTCGAGGAAAATAAGATAATTTAATTAAATAGATTATTACACATCTTGATTAGAAAATTATTTCATTTAAGATGTACTTGATATTGATGATGAAATTTTCGTCTATATGAATTGTTGGTATTCTACTTTAGAACAAATATTATATATATATATATGTGTGTGTGAGAGAGAATCATCAAATGATTACTTTGAGAAGATAAACTTTTTCTTCTACCAGAATTTGCTAAACATTGATCAAAGTGTTATTTTTTGACAAAATTTTTACTCAAATGTCAAGTGAATAGTATTTTTTACCAGACTGTCATGTGACATAATTTGCTATGACTAGTAGCAAAATGATATTCGCCAATGATTTTGTGACACGTGACCATATTGCAGACCAAATTCGTTACCACTGGTAGCGAGTTTTGACACATCAATTTTTTCCTACAAAAGTGTGCGACGTGTCACAAAATTATTGGCGAACATAATTTGCTACCAGCCATAGCGAATTATGTCACATGACAGTCTGGTAAAAAATACTCATCGTCTGACATTTGGATAAAAAATTGTCAAAAAATGACATTTTGGTCAATATTCCAGAATTTGCAAAAAGGCTATTGTTGTTGTGACAACAGCCTCTATGTATAAAACTAAACATTTCATTAATTCAACAATTTATCTTTTCTGAAAATAGAAATGTCTATTTAACTCCTTGAATAATAAATATTCAGCAAAAACGCCCTTGAATACTAAAGTATTCTCCACATAAAGTATTCTCAACATTTTGATGCTTCTATCAATTTCTTTTCTTCACAAGTTATTCATATGAAATTAATATTTAAACATAAACTTGTAATTATAAAATCTACCTTATTTTATAGAAATATAAAGTAAAAAACTTAACTGGTCTCATTAAACAAAATTAAATATTTATCTAAATTTGACATACATATTTTCATATTTTTTATTCACAATTACTTTTTCTTTGTTCTTGCAAAATTCTTTTGGTCAAAACTATTTATTTTGTAGGATTAATTATTCATCCTGAATCCCTACATCGTATTATTTATTCTTTGCGTATGTCGGTTTTGTGTTCGGTAGTAGAGCTGACAGAAAGTGACATTTTGCCTAAGCGCCCACCTTCGTTTCTTGTTACAACAATAAGTATTTGTTTTTAGGGAAAAACTATTCTCATGTCACATAAGGTAAGTTTTTTTTCTACATACCCTTCGATAATCGTGCAATATTTTTCTTTTCTTTCTTTTTTATTTTTTAGATGATGGATCCCACCACTATGTGTCTATAACATGAGATTTCTTCTCTCATACAACATGAGACTAGATAAGCCCTTGTTTTTAACATGAAGAATACATAGTACATCCGAAAATGAACCAATATTATTTATAAAAATATAAAAGGGATTAATAATTTTATTTTCTATGCATATATAAAAGTGTATAGAGTTCATATTTTATGTTTCTCTCTTTTCTTCACACGAGCTCTAAATATATATATATATAGAAGATAAAATTATCTTCTATAATATGAAAAACATAAATCCTAATATAAAATGTAAAAAGATTGTTTGCTTGGGATGTACAATGAGAAAATATTTTCAATATTACAGATATATTGACCACTCAGTGTATCCTTTATCAAATATGAAAAAAATATATATATTTATGTTGGGAACTCGGTTCCCTCAAGCTCGGCTAGGCAACCTTTGTGCGGAAGTCAATCAACAAGATCCTGATCTTGGATCTTGGCAATACCTCTTCCTGAACTTCATCAGGTCAGGCAGCGCAGCGGAACAATCAAAAACGAAAAAATCAAAATAGGAGAGAGAGAGAAGAAGAACACAACCAGTTTTAACGTGAGAAAACCTTCTCCAATGAAGAAGTAAAAACCCACGGGACCTAGTCCAGATCAGAAATCCACTATGAAAATAATGGTTACAAATAATCAAATACACCAATGTGGTGGTTAACTCAACCTCTCCAACAATGGTGATAATCAAACTACCCTAGAGATGTTTCACTCAAACTCTCTTTAGAGATCTCTCAAATGCAAAGCATAAAGCTTTACTCAATCAAACAATTTTTCTCTCAAATTTGTTCTCTCAAATCTAACCTAGCCTCCACCCACAACTAATGAGTATATATAGAGGAGGTGGAAATTAGGGTTAGGGTTTTTAGGAAACCCCTCAAATGGGCTTGGGCTTGGCATTGAAGGAGGAAGCCCAACAAATCTCCCCCTACGACTTCAATGCGTCGGCTTCAGCATCAACCCGACTCCTTCACAGCAGTCTTCAAATTTTCTTGCTGGAACCGGCTTCGTCATCATGTCGGACCAATTTTGGTCAGTGTGCACCTTGACGAGTTCGAGCTCACCACCTTCCACCACATCCCGGATCCAGTGATACCTCACATCAATATGCTTAGTGCGGGAGTGATAGGTTGAATTCTTCGCAAGATGGATTGCGCTTTGATTGTCACAACCCAGCTTGTACTTGTCTTGATCATGGCCGAGTTCCATGAGAAACTTCTTCATCCACAGCATCTCTTTGCTTGCCTCAGTAGCGGCAATGTACTCAGCCTCAGTTGTCGATAGTGCAACACATTTCTGAAGTCTTGATTGCCAAGAGACAGCTCCTCCGGCAAATCTCATCAAATATCCTGTAGTCGACTTCCTCGAGTCGAAATCTCCCCCTAAATCAGAATCCGAGTAGCCTTGCAACTCGGCTTTGCCTTCTCCAAAACGGAGACATAAGTCGGTTGTACCTCGGAGGTACTTGAAGATCCACTTCACTGCTTCCCAGTGCTCTTTGCCGGGGTTTGACAAATACCGGCTTACCATTCCAACAGCATACGCCAAGTCGGGTCTAGTGCAAACCATTGCATACATCAAGCTTCCGACGGCGGATTGGTAAGGGACCTTCATCATCTCATCTTTGTCTTCATCAGATCTCGGACATTGCTTTTGGTTCAGCTTTATGTGTCCGGCTAGGGGGGTGCTCACTGTTTTGGCTTTGTCCATGCTGAATCTCTTCAGAATCTTCTCAATATATTTCTCTTGACTTAGCCACAGTAGCTTCTTCTGTCTATCTCGAATAATCTTTATTCCGAGAATCTGCTTTGCAGGGCCGAGGTCCTTCATTGCGAAGGACGAGCTCAACGCCTTTTTCAGGGCGGCTATCCTTGATTTGTCTTTCCATACAATAAGCATGTCGTCAACATATAACAACAAGATCAGAAAGTCTCCTGCCTCATACCTCTTCACAAATACGCAGTGGTCGGCATCTGTCTTTTCAAATTTATGATCAGTCATGAATGATTCAAACTTCTTGTACCACTGACGAGGTGCTTGCTTCAAGCCATAGAGGCTCTTCTTCAACCGACATACCAAGTCATCTTGGTCTGGATCTTGGAACCCTTCAGGTTGCTCCATATATATCTCTTCTTCTAAATCACCGTGAAGAAATGCTGTCTTCACGTCCATTTGTTCTACCTCGAGGTCCATTGAAGCCGCCATGGCTAGCACGATTCGGACCGAGGTCATTTTCACCACAGGAGAGAAAATCTCCTCAAAATCAACTCCTTTCTTCTGATTGCAGCCTTTCACTACAATCCGGGCTTTGTATCTCGGCTTTTGCCCGTTTTCTTCATTCTTAATCTTGTAGACCCATTTATTTTTCAGAGCTCGTCTTCCTTTTGGCAACTCAGTCAGCTCATAAGTCTGATTCTCGTGCAGAGACTTCATCTCGTCTTGCATTGCCTTTTTCCATTCTTCTTTCTCTGAGCTCGTTACAGCCTCATCATAACTCTGCGGCTCACCGTCTTCAGCAACAACGGTGTATTCATCGGATGGGTATCTTGTAGAGGGTCTTCTTTCTCGAGTTGGATATCTCGGCTGTTCTTCAGCTTGAGAACTCGGTTCATCAGTTTCATCCCGGATCTCATCATCAACTCGGACCTCAATGTCTTGGTCATCTTCAGCTTGTTGTTGATCATCAATTTCTTCATTTTCTTGATTTTCTCCCCCTGCTTCAGCTCGGACAGGAGGGATGGGTTCTTCTTGTCTGACAGTCACCCGGACTTTGGGCTTCGAGATGTCATGAATGTTCTCATGCTCATGAAAGATCACATCTCGGCTTCTCACGATCTTCTTATTGATTGGATCCCAAAGTCGGAACCCGAACTCACATCTCGGCGAACCAAGATAAATGCATTCTTTGGTCTTTGCATCAAGTTTAGCCCTTTCATCTTTAGGGATATGCACGAAAGCTCGGCATCCAAACACTTTCAATTGATTATAGCCGCTTTCCGACCTGTCCAAACTTCTTGTGTGATATCAATAGTTAATAAATCATTATTCACTAAATACTTTTGTTGACTCAAGATAATTTTATAATTGATTAACAATGTTATTAAACACAACTTTAGGTAACATGGGTTTTGATTCAAATAAAGCTAATATAGATTTTTTTTCAAAATCTCTGTAACTTATTTATATTTCGAAGTAAAATTATACAAATGTTCATTTTTAAACATTTTAGTTAGGTAAATCCCAAACATCTACAACTAATAGTACAATTAACTTCTAATAGTCAGATTTTACTACTTTTTAGGTTTATTCACTTATTTGTACAGCAACAAATTTACACTTGTTTTACTTCCCAAAACAAATTTATAATTATTTATACCTATACACATAATAATATCTGAATTCAACTGCACTCAACCTAGAGCATGTTTGGAACAATCAAGATTTTACACTATGCACATTAATCATTTCCCCAATGATGTTTATTAGCACATGCTTCAAAGGTGTATCATGTATGTATATGGTACTGCTTCATGAAAGACAGTGAAAGCTAACATCATTTTCTAAAGAATTAGTCAGCCAACAGCAACAAAACCCGCTTCTTTAAGCTTTAGCTGATGTTGCAATCTCTGGAATTTCCAGGAGAATCCTCTTCAGAAGAGGCATCACCATCTGAGAATCCTAAAAGGTAACCCTCTGCATCTTCTTCATCACTCACAATATCATCTGCCCTACTATATCTTCTTTCAATAAACGCCAATGTCTGCCGCCTCTGCAGGCGAAGAACATGCATTATAACATCAGGAGTAAGGGTTACCCGTGACCGATCTTCTCTGCCCTGTTTGTTTGCCTCAATTATCTGTTCACATGTATTAATAATCAGAAAGCTTGCATCAAGAATGTAAACCAGGTTTTATAAATAAAAATAGCTTATTAAGCACTAAGCATATCCTATGGCCAAAACAAAAGCATTAAACATATCTTGTAAGTTGTCAAATGGAAAGAAGATGGAGGAAAAAGAAAAGACAGGAGATAGTACCTCTTTCACATTTACAGGAAGTGGAGGAATATCACTCCCAAGAGGAGCCCAGATTTTCACATTTTTTTCTATACCACAAGTAGCTAGAATAGGTATATGTGGATGGGCCTCAAGTTGATTTACAACATGTTGATCACCTACCATTAATCTCACCAGCTTAGCTTCCTTCTTCTTCCAGATGAATATATGGCCACAATCTGAGCCACTCAACACATATTCATCATTCGGGCCAAAGAAACTCACTCCTTTAACTGTCTGTGCATTTCTATGGCCCGAGTAAACTCGTGCCTCGTGAAGATTCTTTGGATCCCCAGATGTAGTAGATAAAGGTGAAGAACCCAAATCCACATGTTTTTCAAATAGATAGATGAGCTCATCATTATAAGAGACAAGGAGTTCACTTAAGCTTGAGTAATCCAATCCTGTGATGTGGACATTATTTGACCCAATTAAATGACGAGGGCAAAATGTGTTGACGGGTCGATCTGAATTTCTGGCTGTATTCCACTGGCATTTTCTCATGTCATAAACGCGTGCATATTCATCAGATCCACCGATGGCAAAGTAACATGGATTTCTAGAGTCAATCACAATGGAATTCAGCCCTATTTTGCTTGGAAGCTGTTTGTTGTTCCCTATCGATGAGGAACAACAGAAAAGTTTTGTAGCAGAACTACTTCGCAAATCAAACTGCAAAAGAAACAAAACTTATAACTGTTGGGGGATAGCATTAAGGGGAGCTTCAACATGCAACGTGGTGTAATACTTGACTAACATGTTGAACAAATCCATCTTCACCACAACTATACAGTATGTGGGGACTTCCTGGCTCCACAGCAAGCTTGTATACAGAACCATGGTGCTTCCCCAACAATGTAGTGTCAACTCTACCATCCTCCTGGACAAGGCCAAGCCTTACCTGCAAAGGAAAGATCAGATTCCAATGGAGGGGACTCAAGCAGACACTTCAAAAAAGCACAAGTTAGGTTGGGCTTAAATCTAGACTTTCAGCATGGCAATATCTAATTTCATTTGGACGACGGATAAAATTAATCAACCGAAAAGAGAAAACTCATACAAAACAGTTTTGACTTGTTATGCTTAATTATGGTCACATTCTAATAACTTTCAATATATTGGCTACTTGAACAGCACATCAGATACAAGGTGAAACTTCATGACAGATTCAACTACCACCAGATAAATTTTAATGACAAAATTGAAATTACTCTGTCAATTTCCTTTCTAGTTCTAAAGATTGAAAAGAATTTAATTCAAAGAGCATCAGATGAATAGAATCAACAACAGATCAGAGGCAAAATGGTACATGATCAAATCATATCTGTTTAATCTAAAAAAGAGGAAGCAAGGGGGATTTAAGCCTGTGATGTAGGGGCTGAACAGAATATTTGATGCACACTTGCACAGATTTACCTGGCCATCACCAGCAGAAGTTACTATTCGGCAGTCATCAGTAAATGGCATGATTTTAGTCTGGAATATGTTGTCTGAGTGGCCAGAAGGGTATCCAAATAATTTGGTTTTGGATGCCCAATTCCAAAGCATAACTTGTCTATCATCAGAACCTGAGACAAGAAGATCACCGGTGGAGTTAAATTCCACTGCATTTACACATCCTTCATGGCCAATTAACTTCCCGTATAAATTCATGTTCTTTACAAGGAGCTGCAAGTATAAATAAGCCTCATAAGACAAATAACCAGTTGCACATACATAATCATAAGAGTTGTTCCAATAGCTGTATTTGATCAATTTACAAGTTACAATATAACAACATTAACTTGTAGACATTCAAGAACATAGTTGAATCACAGTGCACGTTATTTATCATAGTGAAATTCAAACATGTGATACTTTTTTTTTTTTTTTTTTAATGAATGCATAAAAATTCAATTTTTATTTTTTAAAGTTTCAATTTTCACTGAAATTGCTTGCCACTTGCCGGTGATTACTGAAACAGAAAAATATCAAAACCAAATTATAGAGAGAATTTGGGAAAACCTCTGAAGCTGAAAATCGACGAGCAAAACCGCTGGGATGAGACAACCCCACCTCTCTCCTAAATATATCCGTAAAGCCATGTCGAGCTCGAGTATTAGTAATGCCCTTATGGTTATGGAAATTCTCCATTTCTATGAATTTTCAGAGTCTGCGTTTACTTGCAGTTACAGTTGCAGAGGAAGATTCCCTTTGGAACGAAAGAAGCGTGGGTGAAGTTGAAGACGACGCTAACTTTGGTGTTTTTGCTTCTTGCAAACGACATGTCGTCAGAGTCCCACTTATGAGGGGATTCCTTGCGTAGCCCCATCCCCTGTCACTTGGATCAGTCAACGGCGGGGATTGGTCAGTGCGTGCGTTTTGTTGGACTAACCTAATGATTCAGATTGTAAATTGAATCAGTGAAACATAGGCCCAAAATGAATTGGGCTGGACTAATCCAATCTGGGTCGGCCCAAAAAAAATTGAGCTAATCCGGTGGCCTACGAGAATCTTAAGATATTTTCAGAGTAATACTTTGGGTAATTTTGTAGTTATACACATGTAATTTAATATGAAATTTTAATATAACAGAAGTTTTGTTTATGGAGCTTCATGTGTTATATTTTTATCGAAATAGTATAATACTTATTTTTATTTTGCTTTTTAATTATTGGTGAACAATAGTTTAATACTCCTGGAATACATAAAAAACTGCTATCGTATCGTAGCCTTTTACAGCATTGCTACATTAGGCCCAATTAGTATGAGTCCATGACCCAGCCAGCGAGCCCAGCGTTCTATAGAATTGGAGCGAAACCCAAAAGGCCCACTGGACCAGCGCTGCCCCAATCGCGATCGGTGATAAAACCATTCCTAGATTTCTCAATTGATCCAAGATTAGCCACCTACCCTGACAGCCTTTGGAGTACATTTGGAACATAAGTATTTGCATAACAAAATTTATGAGTTTTAATATAAGAAAAGATGTTTGTCCTTTTAAATGATTGTCATTTTAGTTAAAATTAATATTTTAAATACAAATTAAGAAAAAAATCATCCATCTTCTCCCCCTCATGATTTTTATTGTATATCTCTTTCTCTTACTTAAAATGACACAATTCTATATCCTTTAAAAGAACAAAACCAAATCCTTTAATTTAATATTTTAAAATTTCAAAATAGTTGATTCATGACAATAAAGAAAGGGATGAGGAAAATTTCATTGTAAATAAATATTTTTTTATTTTTTTAAATTAGAAGAATAAAATAAGAAATTATCATGTAATTTTTTGTCTATTATTTTTTAATAAATATTTTATAATTATGTGAAAAGTGTTTGTCATTTAAAGAGAGAGATAGACACAGAATAAATTTTTTTATTTAAATTTTAAATTAAAAAAAATCATTCACTTTCTCTCTCACGTAATTTTTATTTTTTGTGTTTATCTCTCTCCTAAAATGACATAACTTATGTCATTTAAAATGACAAACACCAAAGTCTTATAATTATATATTAAATGGAAAATTAACTATCTCTTCGCTTTCCTACCGAACTCTTCCATCAAAATATATACCTAATTTTCCCCCCTCAATTCTTTTAGTAATAAACATGATAAATGCATGTCTCTTCTATTTTGACATAAAAAGGTGTGACTTGTGAGACCTGATGTCAAGAGGGAAATGATGGGTAAAGTGGCCTGAAGATGAAAGAAGTTCAATCATGCACAAAAGAAATGTGAACTTTTTATTTTTCCATAATCATTTAAAATTCTAGAAAAGTTAATCATGCACAACTTGAAAAGTTAATCATGCACAACTTCTACAAACAGTTTTATAGGTGAATGATTATAGTTGCTAAACAAACTTTCCCCTCATCCCTCCCTTTTATATTCATGTTATTATAGTTATGTAGGAAATCTTAGATTTATGCGGAAGCGGTTTAGGACCTAGTACATTGGTATGCTTACCGAATCATCCTTGTTTCACAATTACCTCTCGGTGCGCAGGTGTCGTGTAGAATCTTCCCTTGTAGGATTCCTCTTCACGAACAGCTCACCTCAGCGCCGCAGCACAAACAACCTCCTTGAAGCTGGACTGTGGCAGATCTTCCAGACTATCTCTCGAGGAGGATGAGATGGTTGTGTGGGCAACCGTTCAGATGATGAACGTCTGCCTCTTGGGGTTTGTTTCTGATGATCTATTCACCTTGGAGGCACAAGATGAGAAAACTATGAATATATACGCTTAGGTCTTAGACATAACTCAACCCTAAGCCTCATGGGCTCAAGTTTCACTGAAGCCCAATAGGACTTTAGTGACCAAAAGAGCATATATCCAACAATCTCCCACTTGCTCTTTAAGATACAAACTTGAGTTCGTAAACCCAAGACCATGTAGCCCATAAGCTATCATCATCTGATAATATACCTCATCCCTTGTCTCGAGCTAGCCTGGGAACCTACCATTTGTCATTGATCAAGGCTCCTGATAATCTTTACAAGATTATCTAATTCGGTGCTACTCCACTAAAAGCCCGAACGTGAACTCCAAGATTAATGACCTTTATAACATTAATATGCATTGCCCCTTTATAGAATGTCTATAATTCATTGATTAGTTTTCTGTAACCCAATCAATTATTTATTCCCTTGACTTTGATAATTTCTCTAATGGATTACATGCACTGGCCAATGTCTTTAATATCCAAGTACCGAAATATATCAAGGGGACATTTCCTATAAATTCCTTGTTGTTTATCTCATAAATACTGATAATAAATTAATCTCACTCCCAAAACACCGAGTTATTGGCCGTCAAAAGATCGGACCTCACCCGTTGGTAAATCAAAGAATGAAAACTATTTGATTACCTATTTATAATAAACTCAGGATTAAGAGCAATCACATAACTATAGTTAACTGGAGATTTGATACCTTATGACAGAAAAACAACCTTAATCAAATCTCTCCTTGATCCTTTCAATGTGAATGTTAATTCACACCAATATTTTACAATGATTCGGACAAAATCACTTCATAAAATATTGCAGCCTGAATGAAGTGCCCAACTTTATTTAATGGCTGTGACTCCATTCATCAATTGTGAGATCCTATGATCATGTCCTCCATGAACGTATCCATATGATCATATACTCCACAATTTGATCCGGACCTTTATGTTTGTAAATAGTGCGCAAAATAAATAAATAAAACCTTATTTATGAAATTCAGAAAATTATTTTATTGTTTCATCGTCTTACTCCAAGAGCACAATGAAACCAATAACTCCCACTTGCTTAATGCAAGTCTGGGATCCTCCTAAGACCCAAAGAAGTAACATGCCTCTCGAACACAAGTTCAGGCAAACTCTTAGTAACTGGGTCTGCAAGATCCACCTCTAATGCTATCTGAGTTTAGTGAAAAACTCATAGCTCGAGGTTGATTTTCTTGAGTCAATATCCACTTGAAATAACTGAATTTTTGAAAACTCAGCTTTTCAAGACTCCCAACCAGCATATAATCTCTCGTTCTCCAAAGATACTTGAGTACATGCTTAACAATAATCTAGTATTCCTCTAGGTTCAAAATGGTACTATCTCACTACTCCCACTGCGTGACAGATGTCTGGTTTAACGCCCAACATGATATGCGTGAGTCTACCTTTGCCAAAGCATAAGATATCTTGCTCATGCATTCTTCCTTCTTAGAAGTCTTTGGTCACTCCTTAGGAAGATGAATTTCACATCTGAGAATTATAATTCTTCTCTTAGAATTCTTATGTTGAATTTTGGGTTTTGTCAATGTAAGTAGCCTGAGGTGATGCCAACAACTTATTCTTCCGGTCTCATAAGAGTTTTATATCAAGAATATAATTGGCTTCCCCAGTACTTCCATACCAAAACACTAACTTAGCCAACTCTTTATGCTTGATATTACCTCCACATTGTTTCTAATAAGGAGCATATCATCTACATAAAGTACCAGAAAAGCTACTGTCTTCCGTTGTATCCTTTACATACAAATACACATAATTCATCAAGGTTCTCTCAAAATCAAAATTTTGATAACCTGATCAAAACTGATGTTTCAAGACCTGGATGCTTGCTTAAGTCTATGAAATAGACTTTCACAACTTGCATACCGTGTGTTCCTACTCATTTGCTATAAACCCTTTTGGTTGTTGTATGTAGATATCCTGACATCCAACTCCCAAAATGAAATCTCATAATTGAGACTTATAGCAACTAAGAGAATCTGGATAGACTCAAGCATGGCGTCTGGCAAAAAATGCCTCCAAGCTAGCTTTGAAGGTACCTTTCTGTCCATCCTCTCTTTGCCTTTTATGTCCACATGCACCTTGTGGGTTTTACCCCTCTTGGTGTATTTACTAGGACCGAACGGAGTTGAAATACAAGTATTTCATCTCATTGTTCATAGCGTGAGCAACACTTGATCAACAACATCTTCTAGTGTATTATCGTAACTAGTAGGATCAATATCACTCAACAAGAGATAACTTGAGAGTTAACAAGGTTCTCTCCTACTACGAATGTACTGCACTAGACCTTGTGTATTTATAGGTAAAACAAATAGTGGGTCAAATGATGGATCTTCAATTTCTTGAGGATCCGATTATCCTTGATATTGTTCCTTTACATGTGATACTAATATTTCTACTAGTTTCACTTATATATTATCATGTTGAATTTCCAATCATGGTTCTCTTGTTTGTTCACTTAGAGATATATCTATCCCCTCTTGAACAATCAAGGGAACAGTGGATGAAGCTTCTAGAGATTCTGAAAATTCTTGATCTGAGATAAATCTCATCAAGAATAACCTAACTTAAGAGCTTATAATTTCTTATCTAGTCCTCCTTTAAGAAAATCATGTAAGTGCTCACTTAGATTATCTTGTCCTTAAGACTAAATAAGAAATCATCCCTAGTTCTCTTAGGGTAGCCAAAAGATATGCACTCTTCCATACAAGATTCCATATCATTTGACTGTTGTTGTAGGACGTGTGTCGTAGCACCCTAAATCCGAATATGGTTTGATCTGGGCTTGCACCCTTTCCATAATTCTTTAGGTGTCTTTACAACAAACTTTTGACGGAATCAAGTTAAGAAGGTACATTTCCTTCTCTTAGGCATCTCCCTTGAACAACATTGACAAAGATGAATAATTGAACATGATCTTCACCAAGTCTA